GCCTTTCTGTCAGGAACTGAAGGTCAAAAGTTACAAAACTATAATGTATCTGATGCTTAAGCCATTCAGTATTGCAATTTGCATCCTTAATGTTCAAGCTGTCTGTTCAAATTCCGCTCAAAATAGGATTGCTATTTATACATAGTTTTTGGATTGTGCTGAGTATTATTTATGCCAAAAATACATACTTAAAATTTAAAATATGCTTTATTTGCTTTATTGGATTTTTAATGACCGCGCAGGTCCACAGTTAGAGTTGGAATATTAGAAATATACAGAGACCAGGTTGTGGAAGGCAAACCTTGTGTATCATGATCTGAAGCGTCTGCTGAACTGAGCGACTGGAGGTTTTGGTTTCAATATCTCCTTTTTATCATTCAATGTATACAGCTGAAAAGCCTGTTTTACTGAAATGTTTACAAGTGACAGTGTCCTATACCAGCATAGAAAGACACTGTGCCTATAGTCCCAAATAAAGGATTTTTTTTAAAAAATAAAAAATGTGCAAAATGTTTGAATTCTCTTTTTTATATCTGCGATGTGTGAACTTGAATCAGAGGATGGTGAGCTTGAGCCATTTTGAATTTGAAATGTTTTGCACGCTCCTTGCAGCTACAGTTTTAACAACAGGAATAAATATGCGATCATGTTCATTTCCTTGCCGTGAGAAATTTCCCCCTGCTAATTGCTACTCAGTCAAGGTACAAGTTTGGGCCAGGCTGGTCTGTTGGCTACCTAGGCTGCAGTGGAGTATATAAATTCTTTTGTGAGTTTTTTTTCCCCCCTGTTTGCTGTTGTCTGCCTGCGGTAATGAAACATAGGGAGGCATTTGAATAAATCATTAGCCACTGTACGTGGTTGATGGGCTGTGCCTGTCTTGGTAGCTTGAAGCGTTTTGCAGAGTCTGCATGTAGGAAAGACAGTGAATACACAAGAGTATTAAATGGGGGGGGGGGGAGTCATTTGTTCTGTTTATAAGCAGATGTAGCATTTTGAAAGTGCAATAAGTGGGTAATACTAGGGATGTCACAGCCACCTTGCAGCAAAATATGGCAATGAGGGCTTTTTGACTTGTCCAGGTTGTATGTAGGCCTTGATGCGAAGAAGGAAAGCTTATTCCATTTTTGATAAATGATGGCATTCAGCAGATCCAGTATCCGGTGCATCCTCACTGGGTTTGGATCTCATCTGTGAAAGTGCCTGGCTAGACGGGGCAGATTCCTTATTCGCTACCATTCCTTGTGCTTTAATTTCATAAAAGCTCCATCCAGACGTAGTTGAGAGCCAGAAAGCCTCCAAATTTTGTCTGTCATCAAACATAGCTTGTTCAGGCCTCAGATGACGTCAACCTTCTTTTCCTCAGTAATGCCACAAATGGGGACGGGAGGCTTTCTGCAGCTACTCACGCCCTTCAAATTACGTACTTAGCATCAATTATGCTAATTGTATTGTCAGCCCCAATGACCCAGGGCAGAATATTTTCCCAGATCCCAATTTGATGATAAGTATGACATTAAAAAGTCAGTCTTTTAAGAAAAAAAAGACCTATTTTCCCCTTCTCCCTGACATGTGCAGAAACTTCACCAAATGCTTTCCTCTTTGTTGGCTCGGAAGGGTGGACTTTTAAACCTACTGCTGTTGAAAAACCTTTCTCATCTGATCATTACCTTAGAAATCTTATTATTTGCTAAATAAACTCTGTGCCTGAGCTTCTGGAAGCTGCAGATTTGGCCTGCCCCTTGGGTCTCATTTGTCTAGGCCCAGTTCCACGCACAGAAGCTGGCTATACAACATTCTTCCTTGTTACCGGGCAGGTGACAAAGGACATAAGAGCTCTTTTTCCTTCCATGCTTCGCTACCATTCCAGGTCTCCACCTTGCCCTGCCTTCTGAGGAAGTGGCCTTTCCCTTTTTGTAGAGGCGGCCCTGTGTGTCATTCCACGTGAACGGAGACTACACCTTTGAGGCACGCATTATTTTTTCCTTCATCACTAAATAATTAGCTCTGAGAGCAGAAGCTTGGGGAAGGGTGGATGGCCAATCTGTTGATGTTTTCCAGTCCTGGCAGGTATCCCAGGAACTAGTTCTGTCCTCAGGCTGTTGACTATTTTATTGTTAGGTTGTTTTAGTTTTCTACGGTGTCCAGATGATGGTTCATACAAGCTGCCTTTGACATTATACCCTGATATCCAGTGGGGTTATCACATTTAGGTGCAAATATAAACAGTGTTGCTTATAGGTCGTCCCCCCCCTCAAAGGGAGTTGTGGTGAGATTGCCTCCTGGCAAGCTTTACTTGAATTTACCTTTCGGGAAGTATGTTTCTTCTTCAGTTCATTCTACCTCCTGTCATTTAATGATTTCATGCTATAAAAAGAGATTGCCTGTTGAGTCCTTGCTATAAAGCCACTCCAGCTAGGCTTGTTTTGGCTTCCTCAGTTCTTTCCTGTTGGAGGTCAGAGTGACTCTTAAGATCCTTCACTGGATTTGGGTGAAAAGGTTGGGGTGCTTTATGGGCAACATAGTGGAGAAATTCTCAGTTTCATTGGGTTTTGAATGACTTTCTTAGAGATAATGAAGGAGAGAATGTTTGGTGTTAAGCTTCAGTATGAGCTTTAAAACAAACAAAAAACTGGAAGAGGAACATTGTCTCGCTTTTGTGGAAGCCAGTATAAGGCCAAGGAATCTTGTTGATCAGAGAAAACACAGTGCAGGTAATCCTCAACTTACAAGAGTTTGTTTAGTGACCATTCAAAGTTAACAACAATGCTGAAAAATGTGACTTGTGACCATTTTTCACACATGCCACCATTGCAGCATCCCTGTGGTCACATGATCCAAAATAGGATGCTTGGCAAATGACTCATATTTATGATGGGTTGTAGTGTCCGGGGGTCATGTGATCTCCTTTTGTGACTTTCTGAGCAAGCAAAGTCAATGGGGAAGCCAGATTCACTTAACAACCAGATTACTAACTTAACTGCAGTGATTGACATAACGGTGGCAAGAAAGGTCGTAAAAGGAGGCAAAATTCACTTCAAATTTCTCAGCAACATAAATTTGGGGCTTTGTGGTGGTTGTAAGTTGAGGACTACTTGTAGACAAAAGTGTGAACAGCTAAGAAGAGCCTCTCTGACCAAGAAGAGTAAGATCTGCTATTTCTGCCATCCACCTGGCTTGTTCAAGCAAGACTCACCATAAGATTTGGTGTGTATGTGTGTGTGTAAAGGCTGATTGTGTTCCTGGATTTTCAGGTGTTCTTTTTTGGGGGTGGGGGTGGGTGGGAAGATACAACAAAATATTTGTTAAATCATACCAAAGGCCACTTAGGCAATGTGCTCTGTTCCCACAGATGCTAGGTAACCAGATGCTTTTAGGAACCCTTTTAATGTCATACAAGTTTAAATAGGGCTCCCTCTCTTTCCTTCAGGGAACAGTTATTGAGATAGAGACTTCTTCTGTACTGGAGGCAGGGGTGGGATTCTACCAGTTCTCTCCTATTCACTAGAACTGGTTGTTAACATTCTAAGCAGTTTGGAGAACCAGTTGTTAGCAGAAATTACTGGCCTAATCCTGAAAGGAAGGCAGGAAGGAAACATTCTGGTGTTGCTTACAGAAACTGCCTCTCCATTAACTTTTATTACATTCTTGACAGGACTAGACTTCCTGTCTCAGGAATGTCTCTGGAGTTTTTTTCCCCCTCCTTTGCTGGTACTTTGCTTGTGTGGAGTTACAATGGCACTGAAAAAAGTGATTTATGACCATTTTTCACACTTACGACTGTTGCAGCATCCCCACAGTCATGAGAGGCCAGGGGAGGAGATGCATACCTTGATGTGAGTGATACTGAGTTGGCCACACCCAGCCAATAACATGATCACCAAGCCATGTCCACCCAGTCATATGACCACCAAGCCATGCCTACCACCTAAGCCACGCCCACAGAACCGGTTGTTAAAAAAATTGAATCCCACCCCTGACTGGAGGTAATAGTTACTATCAGTCGTATTCTTTACGAAGCTATCTAATCCCCAGTGTAGATAGCTGTACAGTGGGGAATTTCATAGTGTCACTGTGTAGGATGTTTGTTGCGCTCTGCCCTAGTTTAATTTGATAAACAGCATGCTCTTGGTTTTGTGAGCAATTCCCTTGCCATTCATATCTGCACTGACCTTCGGTATGCAGAAACAGATTTTATTTTATTCTTCCATCTCCTTAAACATTAAAAACCATATGTTTATTTGTATCACTACATGGCAACAGTGCTGGGGATTTATGGCGGTTGAGGCTTCTGTAGTTTCTGGCAGTGATCGGCTGTCGTGCTTTATTTTCACAGAAGAGCTGGTCAAAACCTAGAAGGGGAATGAGCAGGTAGACCTAGGGATGGAAGAATGGAAAAAGGAGGAGTCCAACTAAGGTGAAACCAGGGAAGCCAAGGTATACAGGTTGTGGACTAGGAAATGGTGGTTGAGATATCTCCATAGGAGTGAATAGAACGGAGAAAAACATGGAAGATGAATCTGAAAAGATACAGAGCAGTTTTGGTACCTTTGGTCAAGCTGGATGGAGCTGTTGAAACCCTAGGTTGCTTTATCTTGATCTGTTCAATCTGGGAATCAAATAAACTAAGAGATTTGATGCTGGTTTGAAATCTCTAGTCAAATCATTTGCTGCAATCTTCCGGATGTTAGACTTGTACAGATGTATTCTATGTATTATCTAAAAATATTGTTTAAAAATCATATGTCGATAAGATACGAAAGTCTCTTAAGAGCTATCCTTGAATTTTGGAGGAACTTTGATGAGTCACTTTACTGGTTTTTTTTTTAATGCACTTTAATTGATGGCATTCAATTTGAAGTTTTTACCAGCCACAATTTGGCCAAGAATCTGAGCTGCAGTCTAATGCTGCATTAGTTTTGATACATCTGACATATTCTATACCAAATAAAATTGCTTGTTTAACACACTGGATAACAGTTTCCTCATTCCCGTACCTTCAGCAGTGACTCCAGCCCCTTCCCCATCATGGATCGGATGAAGAAGATCAAGAGGCAGCTGTCCATGACGCTGCGGGGGAGCCGAACTGTAGAGAAAAACCTCAATGAACCCATTAATATAGAGGAAAACAACAGTAGCGATAATGGTGAGTTCCCTCCTCGATCTTCACCTCCTAGGAGAGAGAATGGATAGCAGATCTTTTTTTTTAACTGATCTACTTACAATCACTTTTCTTGGCTGTACCCTTAACAGAACATTACGCTAAAAAGCCCACAAAGGAGAGCGGCTATAGCAGCAAGATCATAGGATGCTTGGCAAAGCTTTTTAAAGCCCTTTTATTAATTCAGTTGAAGGTATCAGACTTTGCTGCCTGTCTAAACTTCTGACATGAAACTTTTTATGCACTGGCAAATGGACCCAGAAGATTTTCTAATGTAAACCTTATTAAATAGTTGGAGTTATAGATGATTAAATAGCCAGATAGAGAGGATTTATAGGGATGGGACTAGTCTTTTAGATAATCAAGTCTCCAGGCATTCAGAAATTAAGATAGCATCTGGAATTAGGACTGAAAGCTTCTGGACAACCGGGAGATGGCACAAAACCGAAGGAATGTTTTCTGATCTCCTGGCCTTGTTCAAACTCTGGGCAGGAGCTCACTGTACTCATTGAAGCTTTTGGACTGTCTTTGGAGAGAGGCCCCATTACAGGTCCCGCAGCAGGCTGAGTAACGGTGTGCAAAGGAGTCAAGAATGCATTTTGGGGTGGGACATCCAGGACAGAATGTGATGGTTGCCCTTTGTAATGAAAATATTTTTGATAAAGCACATTTCCACTGCTAAAGTTTATACAGCTTGCATTCACATATTCTCCCCTCTCTCTCCCCTCCCCACACTCACACGCACTCACGTGGAAGTGTCATGGCAGTTTATTAAGGCCAGCAAGTTGCAAACCTGCGTAGAATCCCACAGGGTACAAAATACTTTTTAAAAAAGACCAAAAAAAACCATCCAGTACATTTGTCAGGCTGATTTTTAACTTTTTTGGGGGAGGGGTGGTGGTGGTGGTGGTGGTCATATTTTCAGCTTGAAGGATGGGAACTGAAACAGGAGACATCTGGCTGCGAAATATTCATGTCCTCACCTTTAACTTCCTTACCAGAAAAACAGCTCGGAGGCAATTTGGGGACTGCTTTCAAACTAACATTTGGAAATTTAACATGCGATTCTTTTGCTTCCCAGAGGCCTTCCACTTCTACCATTGAACATTCCCCAACCCCCCCTCCCCCAATTCTAAAAAATGGACAAATTCTTGAAGCCCTCTGGAAGATAAGGAGGCAGAATTGTGGCTCCTAACTTCTTGAACACTGCCAAACCCTGGCTTAAGTGGGGCTGTTCTGTGTTAAAAAGACATAAATGTGCTCCCATTCTGTAGAATCTGCACATTCTACAGAGTTTTAGCAACTTCCTTTGCAAATGGTCAGAAAATTCCTTGCAACCTGGAGGCCCTTTTACCCAGCTGTGAAACTAGTTTTTTTTACAGAACCGAGCTGCCTAGGCTACAGTAACAGACAACTTTGGAGCTGTGAAAAATGATGGTAATAGGGGTGAAAGGGAAAAGGATGCATCCTGTTTCTTTCTCTCTATGCCAGCATGAGGACCTATTTTCACCATCCTAAACTCATATAGAGCAGAAAATAAAGGACATGTTGGATGGATATGGAACAGCGTAGAAAGTAGTTCTGAGTCCGATCCTGAGCATTAGTGCAGGTGAAATCAGAATGCATGACTTAAGATGTTTCTGTTGACTAAAAAAAATAGCCATAGGCATGTTTCCAGGCCAATAGACATCTGGAAATTTGTTGTGGACTACTCAACCCATCTTGCCTTTGTTGGGTCAGGGCTACCGGTGTAATAGTGAGGACTGAAATATTGACCTTTCACTTTTAAGAACGTAGCTGAGATGCTGTAGAATTAGCTAAGCTCATGAAAAGCTACGCCGGAAGACATGTTTTGTGAGTTGAAACAGTGCAGCAAACCAACATTACTCATTGTTATACTATAAAAATTCCAATCGCAAATATATTTGAGGGGTGGGGTGAGGTCTCCAGTTATTAAAACGGTAGGGAAGGCTGTCTCACTCTGGTAAGTCCTGTCTCTCCGTTATATACCCAATCCTGCCCCTTGGCCGAGGGCTGTCTTTTGAGTTTGATTTCTATTCTACTTTGATTTGTGTTTTGTTTTTCCTTCCTTCCTTCATATTTCTCTTTTTTTTTCCCTCTTTTTTTCCCATCTTTCTGTTTATATTGGCCTCCCTTCTTCTGTGGCGGCATCAATCCCTTTGCTTGTGTGGTGGCCACTGTCTGTCCCCCCATGCCTTCGGTTCTTTGCTGTGGGCTGTTTGCTCAACCTCTTCTTTTCCTTCCCCGACCCCTCCTTTCGTGCACCTGTCTTTTCCATATCACTCCCTTTGGATGTTGCTTGGGGTTCCCTTTTGTCTCCACTTTACCCTCCCTCCCTCTGTTTATACTACCACTTTTTTTTGTGTGGTGGGTGGAGATGGATATTCTTCCTCTGGTGGTCCATTTTCTGGGATCCCACTTTCCTTCTCCCTCTGTTGCTGCTACTTCTGCTTCTCGTTGGTGTTTCCCCTCCTACCACTCCCTTTCTCTCCTTTTGCTGATGTTCTGTTCTTCACTCTCCGGACACCACATTTCCCGGCCACCTGTGTCCCCCTCCATTTTTCCTGCATCTTCCATATCCTTCCCTCCCATCTGTCTATCTGTGGGCTTTCCTCCTCCCCTCCTTCTCCTGCCCCCCCCCCAGGCCCCACAGTGAAGAGTGTGCATCCCAGCACCTCCCGCAGCGTTCACGCCTTCCTGCACCACTACGCAGGCTCCTTCCGCAGGCCCCGTCTGGCCGTCAGCCGCAGTCTGAGCTCTCACCTCGGCCGTACCACCCGATTAGGTGACTATCGCACCTCCCACTGTGCTGCCAGTAAGGGCTCCCCATTGTGGGTTGAAGCCACGAGTCAAGCCAGTCTGACTTCAAGAGAGGCTTTTTGGAGTCCCTGTTAACTTATTTAGGCACCTGAGCATCTTGTGTCAAGCTGGGGTACATCGATTCCTTGAGTAAGAGGTCTGGGGAACCCAGAGTCTTGAATTTCTGCTCCAGGATGTGGTTGGTAAGGAAGCTGGAGTCTCAGATTACTGGGTCTCACTCGAAGAGAAATTAATCTTGGTCTTATTCAGTGCATCATACTGAATCTGAGAGTTTTATTCTGGCTGGTCTCACTCACTATGCTAATGCATAGTATGATTTGTTAGCCCAATAGGTGAAACTTGTATTCAGTTGTCTCTAAAGCTAAAGGTGGAATTTTTTTCAGTAATTATGGTTCAAAATCCTGGCTTAGCATAATGTGTGAACCTGGTCATGTCACTTTTACTTTTTATTAATTATTTTTCCTGGGCTATTCTAAATGCCCTCTACATGTCTAGGTTATGCCAAGCACATCCTCTGTATAAGATGATTTTGAGCAGAAATTGATTAGCACAATCTTCTGTGAAAGATAAAAGATTGAGGCACTTTAGCAATAAAGTGGGAATCTTTTCATAAGACCACCCTGATGTTGCTTTTTAGATCAAGGTTGTCAAACTTGAGGCCTGCGGGCCAGATGCGTCATACACTGGCCAGTCACACGCCCAGTTTAGCGAAGGGAAAAAGTTGCCATACATCACATGACGCGAGTTTGACACTCTTGCTCCAGAGAGTGCTGAGCAGCTGGACCAGTGGCCTGACTCAATATAAAGTGATTTGCTGTCCTTTTAAATCAGCCTTTCCCAACCAGATAACTTCCAGAGGTATTGAGTTATAATTAATTCAGTTTAATTTACTGGGATTTGAAGCTTCCTGATTCCAAAAAAGACTCTTGGCTTATGACATATAACAATGGCTATGGAGTCTGGGAATTTGGGGAGTTAAAAGCATTAGGTCAGAAATACTGTTTTGTACTCTTGAGAGTATCACTGACATGAATTCAACATATAGCTATTTTAAAATACATTGAAGCAGACCTCAAGGTTCATGTTGTCTTTAAAAAGATGCACAGAATCAGCGAGCCAGTGTAATCCCATTCCCAGAGCAATTTTCCTGAATCTGGTGCTCTTTGGATATGCTGGACTACACTATCCAGCGTCTAATGCAGTTTCGGGAAGACAGATGAGTGATACTATCATTTTCTGAGGGCAACATGTTGAGGAAGGCTGGCTCACAGTAGTATATACTTTGATTGCTACATATTAAAATGTTATACTGAACATTTAGAGGATTTTTTTACATTCGATTGTGGAACCAACATAATTATAAGTAATGCAGCTAGTCAAATTATGTTAGAAGAAGTAGTTAATAAATTGGGGGATAATTGGGTGTTTATTTATATTTGATGATTTTAATGTTTTTATGCTGAAAACAGCCTAGAGTCACTTTGAAATGAGATGGGTGGCAAATAAATTTAACGAAGAAACAAAGTGGACAGAAGGAAATCAGAACATGTTATCCCATTCTCTGATCTTGCTTATACCCCTATAACTGAGTAAGTCAACTGAGTAGGTTATAGAACTTGATCCTGCTAATAAAGGACAATTACATGGAAGAGAGAAAGTGTAATGAAGGCTCTTACATGTTGTGGTAGCTTTTTATATGCAGGGAACCCCTTAAAATTGTGATCAGTCTAAAAAAGTGAAGTCCAGTCCATCATCTGTAGCAAAGGTCTTCAAACTTGGCAAGTTTAAGACTTGTGGACTTCAACTCCCAGAATTCATCCTCCAGTCATGTTAGCTCAGGAATTCTGGGAATTAAAGTCCACAGGTCTTAAACTTGCCAAGTTTGAAGACCCCTGATCTATAGCCATGTAGTCTTACTATTTTGGGGGGAGGTACTCCTGGTGGCAGCATGTCTAAATCTTCTGGAGAGATGGAATTGAGATTGCCAAAATACATATATTGTATTATCAGTGTTGGGTTGCTATTGTGGAACATTCATGAAATGGTTTCAGACTGAAAGAAGAGTATTTATTTAAAACATTTACACTTTTACATAAAACATTATGCTTAGGGGTTGACAGTAGCCACTTCCCAACTAGTGCCCGCCAATAGTAATGGGATTGCAGTTCTCAGAGACTTCAGTAAGCATAGCCCCATGGCCTGGGAATGATGGGAGTTCTAGTTCCAACCCATTGGGCTGATCCGTTGCTTCCTTCTACAGCCCAGCTTTACAAATATTGGAGGGAATGGGGTGAGTCCCCTCTGCCCACCGTGTCTTCATCCGCATTTCTCCTTGATGCAGAAATTGTTCACGAGGACCTCAAAATGGGTTCGGATGGTGAGAGTGATCAGGCATCAGGAACATCATCAGATGAGGTGCAGTCTCCCGTCCGAGTGCGTATGCGGAACAACCCAGCGCGCAAGATTTCCACTGAGGTATGTGGGTGCTGGCTGGTGATGATGGAGAGACAGCTTAAGGTGGGAACAAAGAGTTCTCTGTCTCACATTAATAATGGGCTGTTTTTGCATGGAGAGATGTGAAAGGAATAAAGATGTCTGCCTTCTCAAGTTACATGCTCATTTTTTACTCCCCAAAGTTAGCTACAGTGATTAGGGAAGGCAAAGTCTACCCCAAGTTACCTCAGATAAAAGTAAGACAAACATTTGATAAATGCACGGGTTTTGCACAGAATTCCTTGCATTGCATGCCGGACTAAATTAAATGGGGGTTGATTTGATTTCTTAGTGGTTTATTTATGTCTACTCTTTGTTAACCCAGATACTGAGTTTAACATATTGTGAGTCTAATCGCTTAGTAAAATTTGACTTTTTTTGTATTCCTATATATGGGTTTGTGAGATTGCACAGGAAATTGTTACCAAGATTTCTAAATTGGCCCCAAATGTCCTGGAGAATCCAAAAGTTATTGATGCTTTTGTCAAGGACTTACTTAGATTTTTTTTCTTTGCTTAGATTCCATGCTGGTTAAAAGAGAGGTTGTGATTTATTTATTTTTTTGTAGTGCAGGAGAAACTGGAGACTCTGCCTTCTTCACTTCTAGCCTGGGCATTTATTTATTTATTTATTTTAATTTAATTCATATTGCCGCCTATTCGCCCATGGCGACTTGAGGCGGTTTACACAATGCAAAAGCATATTTAAAACAAAACATAAAAATAAAAAAACAATAAAAACTAACGAAAAATTTCCTTTTACTATCTGTCAGTCCACCCAGGCTTCTAATTTTGGGAGGCTTTTAATAAAAAAGCTGACTTAATTTTTCTTTGCTTCCCAGGATATTAACAAGCGCCTGTCACTCCCAGCTGACATCCGTCTGCCTGAAGGCTACCTGGAGAAACTGACCCTCAACAGTCCTCTCTTTGACAAGCCCTTGAGCAGGCGGTTACGCAGAGTCTCTTTGGTAAATAGGAATCACCTGTCTCCCTTTTCTAGTTCTCAGTGTTCCCCCTTCACTGGTGCGGGACCAGTACTAAGTACTGCAGGTCAGCAACTGCTGCTGTTGCTGACTCTCTAAGCACCCCAGACTGAAAAGGGAAGATCCATTACACTTTGTTCCTTGGTTCTTTTTCATTTAGTCGGAGATTGGCTTTGGGAAGCTGGAGACATACGTGAAGTTGGACAAATTGGGAGAGGTGAGTGTTGTGAACTGGCCTTTTTCAGACTGGTCAAAGGTAAGAAGTGGATTTTAGTTCACTTGAGAAATGGTGGTTCTTTGTTTTAACATGCATTGGGTTGTATAGGAGTCCATGGTGGTTTCAGCTCCAATCTTTTTATGCTCGTGTTTGGTTTTGGATCTTGCCAGTCCCTTAATGGTGGAGAACAGAATCCTATAGTGGGTGATTTTCTTACCATCTCTAGTATCCATGAGCAAACCATTCATTGCAAGAAGAAAGCCCACCTCCCAGGCTTCAATCTTCCTCTGTGTTCTGATTTTGGACATGGCTTCTAACTGCACTATTATTTTTACTGTTCTTGTATAGTACATGAGCAAATTGTCTGGCCTATATATTCTATTTTATCTTTTATTCTAATATTTTTTCTAGTTCCTACCATCTTGGTAGCCACCTTTAGGACTTGATTTGCCCAGGGGAGTCAAATGTAGTCAGAACCCTGTATTTGGAAGTCCTTGAACAGAGAATTCCCTTCCTTTCCCTTGCCCCAAGAAAGAAGCACCTGTACTTGTAATTTATATTTCACAGCTAATATCCAGAGCTCCAGTTTTACCCCATTTCATCTTTGAGGGTTTGTTGAATGGCTTGTTAATGACCTACTTCAGGGCTTTAAAAAGATAAATAAAGAAAAGCATTAACTGTTTTGAACCTATAAAATCAGGGACAAAATATCCCCATCTATTCCTGGTCAGAGACACTCCTGTCCTGATAAAACTAGATTGGTTACAGGTGTCTTTCTACTAGTATATGCGCCTAGTGCTATGCCTCATTTATTGTTATCGAAACAAGCCTGGGAGGGGCTTGCAAATCCAAGTACCAGACTCCCATATTTGCTGCAAATTGGACATATAGTTATCACTGTGGCTGTGAAGAGTATAAATGTGATGTCTTTGGTACTCTCTGAGCTTGGCTGTTTGCTTGCAGATATTTCATTACCTGAGTAGGTAACATCATCAGCGTCAGTGAGTGTGGGATTTGCTCTCTGTTTATACATACTGTAGTAACTTATTCGGCCAGTGTTGGTGGGCATGCGGTTTTCTCACCAAAGAAAGAGGAAATTCCACACTCATTGACACTGATGATGTTACCTAGTCGGGTCATAAAACAACTAAGCTCAGAGAACAGCGAGGACTCCACAGTTCAACCCTGAGTTATATGTATTTTCTTCCGCCGGAAGAGTAGAAATGTCACTGCCACTAGTGAATTGGTAACAAAGAAGTTGGGTGAACAGTCAATAAAGGAGGGATTGTTCTCATTGAAACGTCAAGTTTGTCCGATCAGTACAACTTCGGAGATAGTTTTTCCTATTTTAGGGAAGTTTAAGCCTGGGAAGATAGGAATTACGTAGAGAAGGAACCTCGGGGTGGGATGAGGATGAGAAAAGGAATGAGAGACAAAGAGGTCACATTGAAATAATTCTCATGTTGAAGCTGCAGTTTTGAATCTTAAGCGTGGGGTGAAATGCAAAAGCTGAAGGATGGGCTGGTGCTTATAGAAGATGACAGGATATTTATTCCTCAGAAATTATTAGCAAACACTTGGAATAATACAATAAAATAGAAAATGTATAAAAGCATCATTAAGAGAAGAAGTTGAATATAAAAATTGAATATGTAACCATGGTCATATTTGTATATCAATGTGGAAGCCTGTATTCACGCTGCTCACTAAAAAGAGATGTTTTTAAAATATGGAAAACTGAAATAAAACTTGTTTTAAGAAATTATTTAATCACATTTGTACACCAGCCATCTCAGTGCCTTAAGAGACTCTGGCCAGTTTACAAGTACCATGTTAACTTAAATTTTGCCTCTTCCACATCAGGGAACCTATGCCACTGTCTACAAGGGAAAGAGTAAGCTCACGGACAACTTAGTGGCTTTGAAGGAGATCCGTCTTGAGCATGAAGAGGGTGCCCCTTGCACAGCTATTCGGGAAGGTATAAACCTGTAGCCACTTCTTCCAGGGCTTTCAAAGAACTCTTGCATTATTTTGTCTTTTTAACAGAAACTGTGGGAAGATATTATTTGAAAGAAAAGAATCCTGAAAACTGGTTGGCTTGATAGAGAATTGCCCCGCTTATAAGCTGCCTTGAGAACTCCATGTAGTAGCTATCAAGTAATGGGAGGTTATAAGAACGTTTAGACTTTGAAAGCAAAGAAAAGCATAGCATTCGTCTGAGGCAAACAGCCATAACTCTACATAGAGGAGTCATTTACCAAACGTTTAGTTCAGCCTTTCCTAATCCCATATTCTTCAGATACGGTCCTGCTGGCATGGAGCAATTTAGAGCATGTCAAAGCAGGGAAGGCTGCAGTAGATGGGCATTGAACATGACCAAAAAAAAACAAAAACCCATAGTAAGAAATGCAGTGGGATTCAGTCAAGGTCTGGATGAGTTAGATGTATAGAGAGACGGATCTGCAAGTGACATTTTCATTTTAACCATCTACAAACCACAAGGGCTGAATGAAAAATAATGAGCATTGGGAGTTGCTATCAGATGGCAATACAGGTAGCCCTCAACTTACGACCACAATTGAGCCCAAAATTTCTGTGGTTAAGTGAGACATTTGTTAAGTGAGTTTTTGTCCCATTTTACAACCTTTCTTGCCGCAGTTATTAAGTGAATCACTGAAGTTGTTATGTTAGTAACCCGGTTGTTAAGTGAACCTGGCTTCCCCATTGACTACTTGTTAGAAGATCACAAAAATGGATTTTTATGACTTTAGGACATGGCAACAGTCATAAATATGTCATAAATATGATCCAAAAGCATCTGAATTTTGATTACATAATTGTGGGGCTGCTGCAAAGGCCATAACTGTGAAAAATGGTCGTAAGTTCCTTTTTTCAGTGCCGTTACAACTTTGAATGGTCACTAAACGGACTATTATAAGTCAAGGGACTGCCTGTATTGATAGTCCTCAACTTATAACAGTTTACTTGTTGGCCATTTGAAGTTACAATGGTTCTAAAAAAAAGTGACTTATGACCAATTTTCACACTTACGACCATTGCAGTATCCCCATGGTCAGGTGATCAAAATTCAGGTACCTGGCAACTGACTCATACTTATGACAGTTGCAGTGCCCCAGGATCATGTGATCACCTTTTGCAACCTTGTGACAAGCAAAGTCAACGGGGAAACCAGATTCACTTAACAAACTGTGTTACTAATTTAAGAACTGCAGTGATTCACTTAACAAATGTGGCAAGAAAAGCCGTAAAGTGGGGCAAAACTCACTTAACAAATTTCTCACTTATCAACATAACTGTTGGGCTCAGTTGTGGTCATAAGTTGAGGACTACCCATATTAGAAGCTCTGGTGTGTCTGTTCTTTCATTTCATTGGAGGAAAGTTGCTGTGAAGAAAGGCTGGGTTGGTGTTTGTGAACTAGAAACCTACAGTCAGTATTCGCTTGAAACAATGTGTTGAACTGTACTTTTTTTAAAAAAAGATTTTTTTATTTATTTTTAGACAAACATACACAAACAAGACATAAAACATAAAACCATCTTCCAATTACATACATACAGTGTGTCAGTTACAATTTTTTTGTGCATCCTCTCCCTAGTCCTCACTTACAATTGTTTATATAAATTCTCATATTATCAATCTAATGTATATGCATACATTATTATCATTGTTAATCATTTATTTGACTAAACTATTATTCCCTCATTTTATACGAGATATTCAAAATTTTAAATTAATTTATAATATAGCAATTCATGTTATCAATGGTAATACATCTTTATATTATGTTCTGTATAATTTTGTTATCCTTATGTTGTAAAATTCTCTAACATATTTCATTTCCATATTTTTTTTCTAACCATTGATAAGATAAATCCCATATTTTATAAAATTGTTTATCTTCTTGTTCTCTTATGTCAAATGTCAATTTACTCATTTCATGTGCTGAACTGTACTTTTGACTGCCATTGCTGAGTGTAGGTTGCTTACAGTGATGAATGCATTGAGGTGAATACTGTGTGTTGCTGGGCCCCAAAAATGTAAAGGTAGTGAATTGAGAAATGTTGATTTGTATGATCACGAACAAAACATACCTGTGACAACCATCAAGTTTCACATCAAAAATGTCGACAAACTTTAATGATTAAGGACAATTGGAGGATTACTCAAAGGGAAATTTCAATCAGTCTTGGCATTTCATGTGGCTCACCTTATTGATGTTCTTCAGTACAGGTAGTCCTTGACTTATGACCATCATTGAGGCTAAAATTTCTGCTGCAAAGTCCATGGGAAGCCAGTTTTATTGAACAACCATGTTACAACGGAACAACTTCAGTGTTTCCCTTAACCACTGTGGCAAAGGTCGTAGAATGCGGCAAAACTCATTTAACAAATGGCTCGCTTAGCAGCGGAAATGTTGGGCTCAATTGTGGTCGTAAGTTGAATTCAGAATTTGCTGCAGTCTTTCCACCAACGTGCAAGAGATGTATTGCTAGGATGTCAGCAGGACCCTACAATTTCTAATGTAATTAAGGCAGACGTTGACACCAACGTTAAACAGGGCAACTCAAGCCATTAAAAAGTAGAAGTGCTTAGGCATGCAGTCACATGGAGAAATGAAAGCGCAAAGAAGCAAGCCAATAGGTACACCATTTAACAAATTCTCTGCTGGATCTCAGCGGATGGGATGCAACCCATTCATGCTGATCCATTCTTCCCCAAACTCCTCCAGTCTCATTGGCCCTATAAAACAATGTATGAAGATAGATCTCCCTCCTTTTGTATCTGCACAAGGAGGAAAGAAAGAACATTATTGATATTATAGAGGGGCAAAATGGCCAATGTACGTAGCTAAGCACTCCTGCAGTCATATCCCTTGCAGCCCTGGATTGCAGTTCTAGTCATCTATGCAGAGAAAATTTGGTCCCTAGCTTTCTCTCCCATAATTGAATTCAAGGCTAGAATACTGCATTTTGGAACAGTGCAACAAATAGCTCCTTTAAGTATGTTTTGGGCTCCCAGGAACTTGAATTCTTTTCTTTTATGTCATGTTCAAATAATTCTCTCAAAGCCACCTATTTGGAAATGATTGTGTTAGAAATGTTTGTGGTGCAGATCTCATGTCTCCTATCTTTCTTTCTCTTACAGTTTCACTTCTAAAAGATTTGAAACATGCCAATATAGTGACCCTGCATGATATCATCCATACAGAGAAATCCCTGACTCTTGTCTTCGAGTATTTAGTGAGTAGATGGAGGAAGGGAGGGAATGAAATAAATTGGAACACAACTTTCTTTTATGTCTGAAAATCCAGTTCTCATTAAGATCTAGAAAATTCAGAGTCACCACCAACTTTCCTTATGTGCAAGCTGCCATTTTGGTTTGAAAAAGGATGGTCTTTAAACTCCAGGCAGTAGAGACACCCTTCTGAAGACTTTGGGGAATTGTAGTTTCCTGGGAGAGTTCAAGTACTTTTGAGAAAATTCTCTGCTTGTCTTTGGAACAGCCACATTAGCAGCAAGTTTTGTAGTTTGGGTGGAACTGACAGTAGTTCTCAAAGGTTAAGTTCCAAAAGCTGAATAAATGACACAATAACCCCTCCTTCTAAGAAGGTAAAGTGTTCCATGTATTTGATCTCTAAATAAAACAAGTATATATTGTAGATCTCTACGATCTCTTCTTGCTTCACACGGGAAGCTTCACTTAACAAATGTAGCAAGAAAAGTCAAAGATAAGTGGCTTGTAATGCTTTTGGTCACTGCTTCTTGGTGGAGCTATGAATAAAGAATTGGATCAGGGACTGGCTTCCATCAGCTCCCAGGCTTCATTTTCCTAATTCAATTGCTTGTATCTATAGGGAGTGGTGAGGTGGCATAGAGGTGGCACTCGCATCACAGAAAAGGAGGCTGTGAGTTTGATCCTAGGTAGAAGCAGATATTTCTGTCTCTGGGCACACTGAGAATATATCAACTGAAAAAAAAAACCCCTCTGCATTGGCAACAGGAAGGGCATCCAGCCAGTTACACTTAGCTCCATTCAGTTGCCCAGATTTCACCCTGCAAGGGATTATGGGGTTGTTAAAAGAGAGTGATGAATTGCCTGTATCTATAGAGGGGCCACCATAGCGCCCAATTAAACCCATTCTACTCATTGCACATGCCTTCATTAAGATGAGTCAGCCTGGGAACCGGCTGGCATGTAGTATCTGATGCCACCCCCCCCCCCCCCTTACTTCAGTTCAGGTTACTCAAAGCTGGAATTCTGTTGAGGCAGAGGCTTGGGGTACCTCAGGTTCTCAGATTGCTATATTGGCCCATTATATCTTGAGAGGAGTGGGAACAACACGCAGTGTATCTTCCAGCTGTAAAGCTGTGTCTGCCAGTCTGTGTTTGATTACCTTGCATTAAGACCTTCTGATGTAATTGTTGGAACAATATTACCTTGTTGAAACACTAAATGTACCAGAGATAAAATCCTATCCTTTTCTTTCACAGGATAAAGACCTCAAACAGTATCTAGATGATTGTGGGAACGTAATAAATATGCACAATGTGAAGGTAAGGATTAATTCTTAGTACAGCTGATCCTTTCCTTTCAGCGATTGCTTTCAGCTTCTTCAGTGATAGAAGAATTGCTTACAGTGCCAGCAAAGACTCAGATTAAAGGCAGTCCTCAACTTACAACCACAACTGAGCCCAACATTTATGTGGTTAAGTGAGAAATTTGTTAAATAAGTCTTGCCCCTTTTTATGATTTTTTCTTGCCACATTTGTTAAGTGAATCATTGCAGTTGTTACAATAGTAACAACATTTGGTAAGTGAATCTGGTTTTCCCATTGACTTTGTGCCAACTAAAAAGATACTCCTTTGGTCTTTTTAGCTGCCAGAAAAAGGGGGTGGGGGAAAATAAGGCATTCTTGAAATGCCTAGATATCAACTCAGCAACCCAAAGTTGTCAGTGCATAAGAAGGTTATTGGAAAGCATGATGGATGACTCTTGGAGACTGATGTGTCCTATTGGAGAAGTCACATCCCTGACACTTTGCTTGTCAGAAGGTTGTAGAAGGTGATCACATGACCTCAGGACACTGCAACTGTCATAAATGTGAATCAGATGTCAAGCATCCAAATGTAAACGGATGCGACCATGGGGATGCTGCAACGGTCATAAGTGTGAAAAATGGTCATAGATGATCTTTTTCAGTGCCGTTGTAACTTTGAACGGTCACTGTTGAATCTAGGCTCTCATACAGCTGAAACAATAACCTTCCCATCTTCCTTTTAGAGGTTCTAGTGTTCCCATCTTTGCAAAGGGACTCACAAATAGCAATGACAGCAACCCTGATTTTATTGTAATACTTGTAAAAGTATTGTTGGCTCACAATATCAGACTCTTGAATACTTCGCACATGCAGTGGAGATATTTCACTGCGTTCCAAATTTTTCTGTGGGATTTCTTCATTTCTTTCCCTCAGGTTTGAAATCAGAAGGATTGTCAAATACTAGAAGTGATAGATCTTTTTCTGGCCATCAAGGCCAGTGAACTATTTCTTCCTGCAGAAAGAGCCTCAAGTGCTACTTTATATTTAAGTTGTGTTTCCCGGGAAGAAGCAATGAGGAGGAGAACCCCGCTAGGTTTGAAGTGGGGAGAATCAGCACATAGAACATTGCAGGCTTTGTAAGGAGTCATTGGATTCCATCATGGAATGTCTCATAGGCTAAAACATTCTGGCTTCCCTGGATCTTCAGGAGACTGGTCTGCATATTTTAATCCACCCCTTTCGCCAACCAGTTCCTCTGGTTAAAATGTTTGGAGAACTGTTTTCAGGATACTTTCTCCTTCAGCTGGACGTTGGTTCCTAAAACACTCCCTGTTGACATGGGTGATGTTTCTGTGGGATTGGGAAATTCATGTTTATCTTTACCTAGATGATTTTTTTTTCATGAGGTCTGTTTTAGTATCTGCTGAGTAAGACAATGACTTTGTGTCTGATCAGTCTGGGAGGGATAGGAGGCAACCTAGAAAGACACAGCTTTTTCCCACTCGTTGTGCACTTCGGTACAGTATTAAAAATTTAACTACAGCCTGCATTTCAAAGAACAGGGGAGATAAAGAGCCTTGTCGGATTGCCCTTACATGTGCTAACTCTAGCTCATCTCCAGGAAGTCATGGGTGCAGGCATAGATGAAGGATCATTCTTGGATCATTCTGTTGGAACTTCTGCCATTTCTGAAGGAAATAGTTGTGAGGTCATGGAGTCACTGGCTTGGCTGCCTTTTTGTAAGTAAGCGAACATCTCCACGATTTCAACAGGGAAAAACTTTGTGCTCTTGTGCTCCTCCAACAGTAGTAACTAGCTAGATCAGCTATCCGTGGCTTTATTTGTGCTGCAAAGCTAAGGGCTATTGCTTCTTCCTTCAACTTCCTGGAGTTCGAGGTCATTCATCTGGCTCTGCTTAGCTTCAGTCATCTTCTATACCATGGGTATCAAACTCGCTGCGTCACGTTGCCGTCATGTGATGTTTCACAACGTTTTTCCCATTCGTGGAGTTGGTGTGGGAGTGATGCATCCAGCCTACAGGCCGCCAGTTTCACACCCCTGTTCTATACCATATGCTCCTGGTTGAACATACCACAGTCTATGCGTATCTGACCTGAATGAAGTAGTAAGTGTAAGGAAGACCTCTAAATTATGTCATCAGTTGTTGCACCTGATTTCTATTTTGGTGGAGTACATCCAAAGCTGATTGCTTTGATTGACCAATTGATCTTAGGTAAGAATCACTATGAAGCTTGGGAAAACCTCTCTTCATGTCACCATTTTGAGAACTGAATTACTTCTTTTGATTCTCAATACAGGCAGCAGTTGTGGAAGACATGTTAAGTTTTGGGTGGCCTCCAGACCTGCTTTATACTTCCCATTTTTCTTATCACTGTTCAGAATAATTAATTGCTGTTATTTCAATCTGTCATATTTCTGAACTTGCAATGCCACATACGATTTTGTGCGTGCTGTGAACCATTTCATCATTTATGCCTATTTAAGGATAAAGGATACATACCTAAGGATCTTAGCTATGCCTAAGATCTTCATTTATGCAAAGATGTATGTTTTCAGTTGTGCCTCCCAACTTTTATTTTGTCTAGGTTAAAAAGGACTAGCATGAGATAGATGTGGCTAACTTTCAAGATTTATATTTTGGGTTTCATATTGTTTTATTTCAACAGCCATTCCTGCGGCACAGAGTAATTGTTTGCAAATCTCTGCAGTTGAATCTTGTTCTGGATAGTTCTTTTAAGTGCTGCTCTGCTGTTGGTCAAGGCCAAAACTTGTTCTACTAAGATTGCAGCCATTTCCGTACTTTAGCCCTCGTCCCTAAGATTGTCCTGTTAGACATTAGTAAGGTAGCTGTATGGTCATTCATCTCTTCTGTTGTGCAACATTACAGTTTAGATGTGCAAGCCTTGGCAGAATATATATACATTCTACATATATGACAGTCAGCCAGCCAAAAGTGTTTGCCCCTACCACTTTTGGAAATGTTTTGGTAGATTCCAGCTGTGGATATCCTTCTCCCCTCTGGAAAAAGAAACATTGAATTATCATCAAAGTTTTTTCCCCTGCAGTGGGCAGAAGGTATTCAACTCTTCAATGTCCAGTTCATTGTGAACATCAGGGTTTTATATTCTGTCTTTTTACTAATCTTGGAATTCTCATGTTGTCTGATATTTCCATCGGTAGGCTTGGATATTGCTCTCTCTTTATATATAAGGGCCTCAAAGAATATTTGTTCGTGTCTGATGGAGTGAAAGGGAGAAGCAATTATGGATAATCTCCCTCCATTATAGAAAAAAAGACCAAGTCAAATGTTCCATATATATTATTAATGTTTTACTGAAAAGTAACATATGTACTGTATCAGGATTTCCCAAGATGCTCACATAATCCCACCTTGATTTTTTTTATATCTTTCTTTAATGGTATTAAAGGAACAGAGGTTCTATGTTCCTACATGTTCAGGGACTAAAATATCATCTGTAAGTGTATGTCCAGGAGACTGCAATCCAAACAAATATATCATGGATCCTATGTGATATATGAGAAGAATTGAATATATGATATAAGATAAATAAAATAATCTTTATTGCCACTTTTTTTCTGTGAACACACTGGCATACATTAAAAAATGAAATTCTGATCCCCATTCTCAAACGAAAGAAAGAAAGAAAGAAAGATACATACACACACACACACACACACAGTATATATATCATCACAGACCATTTAGAATACGTAGCAGAAAAAAGAGCCTTGAGAATTAACAATTTTGGTACTATATGGTATAAAGCTATTACAGAATCTTGTTGTTCTGCTTCCGATACTGCAAAGCCTCCTCCCAGAAGGTAACAAAGAAAACCGCTCATGGAGAGGATGCATCTCAGACAATATTGTGGACCCTGATCAAGTATTGCTTGTATACCGTGTCCTGGACAGAAGAGAATGAACTTCCAATAATGTTTTCTGCTGTCCTCACCACTGTCTGCATAGTCTTCCTGTCAATGGTGCAAATTTTGGACTCAAATGGAACTGCTATTGGTCATGCCTATGCTAAATGTACTAAATGTGCTTTTATTCCCCAAATGATCACAAGCAGTGATGCCCAATAAACGGATTTTTTTTAAAAATTCTTTATATGTAGCAAATTCCCAAGTTTAAGAATGCCTTAGTTTAAGGATGATCCATAGTTAAGTACAGAGCCTATCGTAGCAAAATTCAAGTTAAATACACAATGTTTCAAGTTCATTACACAATACTAGTTACACAGTATTATACATAATACTGTTTCTGATTTACATATAAATTCAACTAAAGGGCAGATTTTGGGAACAGAACTGGGTACTACCTGTATTTTCCTTTCATACTATCTTAGTTACTGATGTGACAGTGGCACTGTTGTGTGATTTGGAAATACATTAGGAAAAGAAAGCAACATACACATCCATTACTCTATATAAGTATCTGTGTAAAAGATATGCAATATGAACTATTCTGTGAATGATAGGGAAATTGTATTTGCCTAGCAAAATTCACTTAGACGGCTTTGTTCCCTCTTCTAGTTGTTTCTGTTCCAGCTGCTACGTGGCCTAGCCTACTGTCACCGTCAGAAGGTGCTGCATCGAGACTTGAAGCCCCAGAATTTGCTTATTAACGAGAGAGGGGAGCTCAAACTAGCAGATTTTGGTGAGTATCGTCAAATCCTTTTTTGATCTATATTCCAGCAATCTTCGGGCTCTTATTTTTGGTAACTGATGGCCTCGAGGGTAGGAGTGATATGAGGATTGAACGAGATTTTTCATTCCCATCACACTTCCAATATTTGGCAATATATTACTAAATTTCACTGGTACAATTCTATCAACTCTAATGCTGTTTTAAAAAAGGAGGAGGAGGAGGAACCGCTGAAATAGTATTTTCTGCTCTGTGGAAGGTTTTGCAAATGCATTTCTATCTTTTTCAGGATTAGCCCGGGCAAAATCTATCCCCACTAAGACCTACTCCAATGAGGTGGTAACACTTTGGTACCGACCGCCTGATATTCTGCTGGGCTCGACAGAATATTCCACCCAGATTGACATGTGGTACAAATTCTTCTATCTGACTCTCTGAATGATCTTCTTTTTAATGGTTCCTTAGGGTAACTTATTCATTTGCCACACTGTGGGACACTCAGTTGTCCCACACAATGATACCCAAGTTCAGAAAAGTATTCCTAAGTTTAAAGAACTCCATGAAATAATTTACGGTAGTTAATTACAAGTTTTCGGAAAATATGTTTTGCAATTTTTCCGTCATCTTTGAAAAGGTTCAGGCTTTGTTCTTCCTGGCTTGTATGCAGAACTGAGGCTCTGTGCCTTGTCCATTAATAAACACACACTCTAGGCCACTTAGAGCTAGGGAAGGAAATGGTTGTAGAACAGAAAAAGAGGACTGAAGCTAGAGGGAAGTGCTAAATGCACAGATGCTGGCCCCCTAAAGCCGCTAATTTCAGTTTGGGTCTCCCCAATTCCAGTCAATTCCTACAATAGAGTACAAGTGATCCTCACTTAACAACTATTCGTTCAGTGGCTGCACAAAATTATGATGACACAGAATAAGTAGTATTTATGACTGGTCCTTGTATTTGTGTTGTTCCACAGTGTCTTTGTGATCTGGGCACTTGGTTGCTGAGCTCACAGGTATGACACTGCAGTGTCCCACAGTCATATGATCACAGTTTGTGCCCCCCCCCCCCCCCCCCCCCAAATTCCTGCAAGCAAAGTCAACAGGGAAGATGGAACAGCAGGTGGTTGCAAAAGTTGTAGTAACAACTTACAATGATTTGCTTAATGATGTCAAGCAGAAGTGCCAGAAATTTTGTCACGAAACAGTGCAGTCACATGATGTCGCGCTTTGTGACCACATTGCTTAGTGTCAGAAATTCCCATCTCAGTTGATGAGTTTAAAAACCGTCTAGTTGTTTTTAAACTGCATTGTGGGGCTTTCAGGAAGCATAGCATCAGTTCTATAAAGCAGAGGCTCTTCCTAGCAGACGTCAACTTATTCACTTGAGTTGATGTTTACCGTAATATATAAGTGATAATATTTAATGTTCTGTGGAGGACAATAATTTGAGGCTCAGTGGTTCTGTCAGCATCGTCTTTACTGGTAAGCACTGCATACATTCCTAGAATGTCTCTACTGCATTCCTCAAGGAACAGGGATTGACTTTGTAGAGATCAATTCAGTGCTCTCTTTAAAATCCTAAGAATATTTTTGGATATTTTCAAAATGGCACCTATTTTTTTCCCTTCATCTCAGAAGCATCGAAGTGCTTCCATGGCTAAAAGATTTACTGGTGTCATCACCATTGCCTAGGGTATTCTCAGTTGAGGGTTCCTTTCATGTCCCTGTGAAGTTGCCCACCAAAGTGGTACCCATTAATCTACTCACAGTTGCCCGCTTTCAAACCGCTTGGTCGGCAGGAGCTGGAGTATGTGGTGGGAGCTCACCCTGCCCCATGGCAGCACCAGGTCTCGAACATGAGACTGCTGATTCATTAGCCCAGCATTCTAACCTTGTGAGCCACCACATGTTGGTCATTAGAAACCTTAATTGCACCATAGATTTACCCTGTCCTTATGTTTTGATGTGGATTATTTTATATTTTAAGCCAAATTTAAAAAGATTGTTTCAAATGTCAAAATCATTGGCTGACCAGCAAAATCCAGTCATAGAAACATTTTGTCGGTCTGCAAGTGATCTTGTTCAATCATCATGACAGAGATAAGATGTAAAAGTTAGGAATTCTAATTGATAGCACAAAAGTTCCGATTTTCTCAGTGCTGATATTAAAATCTGCCTGCCTTTCTCCACAGGGGTGTGGGTTGCATTTTCTATGAGATGTCCACAGGGCGGCCACTCTTCCCAGGCTCCACAGTCGAGGAGCAGCTGCATTTCATTTTTCGGATATTGGGTAAATATCTACCAAGGTTGCATTGCTGAGAAATCAGTGAAGAAATGGGAGGCAGAGGAGAGGAAGATAATCAGATAGGCTGATCTATAATTTCATAATGGAGGTTAAGAATTTCTTCAGGGATACCAATTAAAACACCATAAGATGATCCAAGATGAAGTACATTTTTAAAAACACTCCTAGATCAGCCTATCTGTCACTAAAAAAAATTGTGTCTCTGAACTCACTTGGAATTTGAAAGACACAATTCAGAAGAAGAAATGGAGCTGGAACAAAGGGGTGTGGGGTGTGGGGGGAGGAATAATCCTTGTGAGTGGAGTGAAAACTATTGAGGAGACAGAAAGTCCCGTATCTTGGCTATGCTGTTGAAATGGTCTTATTTCTCATCTTTTTACTACTTTCATGTGATATGAAAATTGGAAGTCCCTTTTTTTTTAAAACTCCTTTTTCAGAACTCTGCTTTTTCTCTCTGTTGCCAGGGACACCCAATGAAGAGACATGGCCTGGAATCCTGTCCAATGAAGAATTCCGAGCGTATAACTACCCCAAATACCGTTCTGAGGCCCTGATCAACCATGCCCCAAGGTGAATGTCAGACTATAGTTCAGATGTGGGAGCTTTTGATGAGTGATGAGCTGCTGTAGTCATCTCATAAAAGAGAAGGAGAAAGATAACGGCATCCTCGGAAAAGTTGGGATAGGACATTCTGGGCAATTTTCATGTAACCCTTTCAACCATTAAGAATAGAAATTTATTTTAGAACAAGAAAGGAGACGGATGGACTCATTGTACAGCCATAGGTAGTTTTTCTTTCTTTGTCCCTTTTTCAGTGTGGAAAGAGATACACCCAAGTAAAAGCCTATGGATCAGGTCCTCCCAGGATCTTGTAAGGAAGATATTTCCTGTCCAGTTGTTCTTTTTTTCAGCAGAGATGCAGGCAAAGAGTTTTGTCTGGAGTACCTTCTCTGCTGAATTCCAGGCAAGGAAGTTGCCAAGATGCCTCAATGAGCATTTGGTTAAAATCTTTGCGCTTTATTGGGAAGAAGGGATTAACAAGATCACTGTTTGGCTCCTAAGGGTGGAAGAAACATGGGTGACTTTTTGGTGCAGTTCCAAATGAATACTTGACTTAGGGACATGAACTATTTTACATCTTCAGATGTTGTGTCAGAGAATAACAGTGCCAGGAAGCAAAGCCTCAGTTTTCCTGGGGAAATTAATGAATCTGACCTTTCTTTTCTCTCCTAATTGTACAGGCTAGACAATGATGGGGTTGATCTTTTAGGAAAGCTGCTACAGGTGAGCAGTTATTTCATTTTGTTGTTGTTGGAGAATTAAGGTTTTGAGGTTTCTGACCCTTTCTTCCAGGAATCTTAAATTCCTTACATTCCTTTCCCATCCCCAAGCAGTGGAAAAATATTCCCTGCCATGGCAAGCAGGCAACAATCAACCTCATTAACAAATGGAGATCATATAAAGAAAGTATTGACTTCTTGTCCCCCCCCCCCCCCCAAAAAAAAACAACAAATAAATGCACTGGACAGAATGGGCTACCAATTAGGACCTCAAGTGACCTCAAGGACTGTTGCAGAGCTATTCTTTGGGAATGTCTGCATGTATGTGCGTACACACAAAACAAAACAAATTCCAAAGTGGGATACATTAAAAAGGATCCATCAAGTGGATCCATCATAGAGCAGGTGCTCCTGCAGAAATAATTCTGCTTTGTTTGCCTTAATTTCTCAGTGTACTATCTGTGGATGCTTAATATGGCCTGTAGATGGAGAAGTAGAAGCATTTAGGAACACTATAGGTTTCAGCCCCTTAGCTTGCTTTGCAGGTCATTGCTGGCAGGGTTTTATTCATTTGTCTGTTAGTCAAAATAGGTGAAAGTTTTGATCCACTAATTCAAATATTTTGCATTAGGCATGGATTGACAGCCTGCCATATGCAGCTCCTGTGGGTTGTTTACAGCCAGCCTGGAAGTGTAAAATCTGTGTGCTTAAAAAAAAAAGTGCTATATGTAGTTGACACTTGATTAGAGATATTTTACAATTCACAGTATTCTGGTAACTGAAGATAGTTCAAATCCTTGGGCTTTTCCACCGAGTTTGGCCTACTTGTTAAGACACCTGGCTAAAAAAAGTAGGAGACTGACTTCAAGTCCCTTCTTAACCATGAAAGCCGACTGAATGACCTTGGGCAACTCTGTCAGCTCAATTCACCTCACGGAGTTATTGTGGGGAAAAGAGGAGGAGGAAAGTGTCTTGAATTATGTTCACCACCTTGAGTTATCTTAAAAATAGTAAAGGTGGGATAAAAATCAAAATAACATATTTTGCACATTCCTTGCGATCTGGATCAGCGCTTCAGTTTGTTCTGAGATTTCTCTTGTCATAAGCTTTGGGAGCAGGAAACAGCAGTATCTGAGTGGTTGTGTTTTGATGGTATGGGGGAATTTTTAACATTCTTTCCTTTTGGGAGATTTGGGGCACACCTGTGATTCCAACAATGTGATAACTTTTGGGGGGGAAATGCTTTTGTATTAGGACCAAAAAGCTAAATGCCATTAGCATCCTTCATTGAATCAATAGGATTGATCTCTTTTCTATTCTTTCTTTTTCTCTCCCCAAATGCAGTTTGAGGGCAGGAAGCGGATTTCTGCAGATGAGGCCATGCGTCACCTGTTCTTCCACAGTCTGGGAGAAAGAGTCCTCAAACTTCCAGACAGTAGGTGCAGGCTTGGGAGGGAGAGAGGCCAGAGATGTCAAGTAGTGGTTGAGTGAATAAGAACAAGGTTAAGAGAAGGGCGTGTGATGAAAACACAAAGTGGATGATAAAAGGACCATCTAATTCATTTGCATGCTATGCCCAATTCTTGCCATGAATGACATCTCCATTAACTTCTTTTAACTTCTCAGTTATGATGTAGTGGTTAACTGGAGAGGATGTTTTCATTGATGGGCTAAGAATTGAAGGGTACCCATGCTCTTTTTGCAGTTATTTTGTTACTCAGCTAATCCAGTGGGTTAGTGTATGTAGTACACTGCTAAAGGCTGGAGTGCAAGTCTGATCAGTTACTTCAGCATATGACAGCTATCTTCACAATTCCTGTCAATTGGGAATCACAAAGGACAGAAGATCTAGATGTTTACCATTTGACACTGTGGCACATTGTATGAAGAGTCTTTTCCTTAGACTTGCACCGCACCAACCTGCTTCCTGTTTCTCCCATCCCTTTTTTATTTAGCCTAGCTTTAATTAACCTGCTTTAATATGCTGGCCAAAGGAAATACTGACCTCAGTTCCATCTTCTTCTCTGTCTCAACAAGGCAGAAGAAGGGCAGGGAGGAGACTGAATGGGGAACACCTTTGGTGTCAGGTGCTGGCAGCAGAAGACTACAGGACCGTTAGCTTGGTGATCTTAGAGAGCATGGGTGTCAAACTCGCCGTGTCATGTTGCTATCACATGACATAGCGCAATGTTTTTTCCCCCATTCTGGAGTTGGGGTGGGCATGGCCTGCACACGACCCATCTGGTCTGTGGGCTGCCAGTTTGACACCTCTGTCATTCAGTGAGTCAATAGACAAGTGAAGAAATTTTTGAGCAGTGAAAGACATTTTTTTAAAACATACCCCTTGGCTACCTTAGAACTAGATAAGTGGAAGAATGTCTTATTTCATGCTTGAGAATCTCACCAAAATTCTACTTTGAAGGACATTTCAAAAGCCAACTTTTCTTTCATCAGGCTGCATGGGAAAAGGAAGAAAAACATTTTAGCACCAGGTGATATAATTGGAGCTCCTTCCTAAGGAAGTTAAGAATGGAATGGAAAATAGAAAACGGAATAGAATATAGAATAGGATAGAATATTTTATTTGACAAACAAAGAATTTGTCTGCGGTGCAGAAGCTCTCCATGTACATTCAAATCTTCTCCTCCTCCTCTTCTTCTTCTTCTTCTTCTTCTTCTTCTTCTTCTTCTTCTTCTTC